AAGACACCCTGGGTCTGAAGCTGAAGAGAAAATTGTTCACTCCCATCAACAGCATCACATAGTCCCCTCCATGTTGCTTGTCAGATTCTCTGTGACTTTTGTCAGTCTGATAGTCACCTATCTTACAAAAAACATCTGGGTATGATGGCTTGGCTACACAGAGAGTTCAAAACCAGCCTGAGCTACACGAGATCCCGTCTCAAAAAAATAAATATAAATAAAAATTAAATGCCAGCAAGCAATCCTGATGATCTGTGTTTAATCCCCTACCCTAGGCCTCATAATAGGAGAGAACTGACTCCCATAAGTTGTTTCTTGGCTTATACACACACACACATATGAGTTTGTACATTATATAAAATAAATGTAATTTAAAAAAAAAAGTGAGCCGGGTGTTGGTGGCACACGCCTTTAGTCCCAGCACTCGGGAGGCAGAGGCAGGTAGATCTCTGTGAGTTTGAGGCCAGTCTGATCTACAGAACTAGTTCCAGGACAGGCTCCAGAGCAATACAGAAAAACCCTATCTCGAAAAACAAAACAACAAAAAATAGGGGCTGGAGAGATAGCTAAACGATGAAGAGCACTGATTGCTCTTCTAGAGGATCCAGGTTCAACTCCTAGTACCCACGTGGTAGCTCATGACTGTAACTCCAGATTAGGGGATGTGACACCTTCATACCAACATACATACAATAAAGTTAAATAAAGTATTTAAAAAAAATAAAATACTGGCAGATGTGTAATCCCAGTACTCAGGAGATAGCTGCAGGAGGATCAGAAGTTCAAGATCATCCTCAGTCACATAAAAAGTTGAAACCCAGTCTGGGCTATAAGAGACTGTCTCAGAATTTTTTTTTTTTTTTTTTTTTTTTTTTTTTTTTTTGAGGCAAGCTCTCATGTAGCCCAGGCTATCCTGGAATGACTTACTGTGTAACCAATGCTGACTTTGAACTCCCGATGGTTCTGCCTCCACCTCCTGAGTGCTGGCGTCACAGCTGTGTATCAGCAAAATCTGTTCTTTGAACGATCCCACGCTTCCTGGAAATGGGGAACTGAGGCACAGTGCAGGCCTGTGCTTGGGTGGTTAGGGACAGGGATGGGACCAGCGATGAGCTCCAGGATCAGGATAACAACGCAGGCCCACAGAGAACCGCCCCTGTGGTACCCAGGCCCCCGCCGCCGTGCCAGCGCTCTGACTTCAGAGCCTGCGGGGAGTCTATAAATGGCCAAGCAGCGGCGGCGGACCAGGAGCCCCGGAATGAGTCAGCGCTGACGTCAGCGGCTCCCCCCACTCCAGCGACCAGTGCCCTGACCGCCAAGGGGCACCATAGTCATAGTGTGCGATCGCTGCCCCCTTGTGGCTTCTGGCTACGAATTAATTCAAATCCACTCTCCTGCCTTCAGGCTGTGTGACAGGGACAACTGACTACATTTCTGTTAATCCTTTAGGACCCTCCTTAGAGAGTGTTGTGAGGCATGGGTTACTATCTGATGCAATTTGATGTATTTCTTAGCCCACTGGTTCTCTATCTTTGTGTCTCTGTCGTCTCTCTCTTTCTCCCTCCCCTCTCTCTTCTTCCTCATGGCCAGGGTTTCCCTATGTAGCTCTGGCTGGCCTCAAACTCAGAGACCCACCCCACTCTGCCTCCTGAGTGCTGAGATTAAAGTTGTGCGCCCCCATGCCCCTATGCCCAATCATTTCCCTTTATTTTTCTTGTCCTCTCTCTTTTTATCGTATTTTAACATTATTCTCCCCCCTCTCTCTGCCCCCCCCCTCTCTAATGTATTTGACCTGTATGTCCGTGTGAGGGAGTTAGATACACTGGAGCTTGAGTTACATAGCTATAATCTGCCATGTGGAGGCTGGGAATTGAACCTGGGTCCTTTGGAAAAGCAGCCAGTGCTCTTAACTGCTGAGCCATCTCTGCAGCCCCTCCCCTCCAACCCCTGATCTCGAACCCTTGATTTTCCACTTGTACCTCCCAAATGATGGGACTGCAGGTATGTGTCACTAGATTGTCAAATGGGGACAATCTGGGTGTCCACCCCCTCCATTCTCTAGGTCCATTTGACAATGCCTGTACGATTTCTGTTTGTCAAATTAAGAAAAAACTAGGCCTGTTGGTGCATGCCTGCCACACCAGCTCTCAGGATGCCAGCCTGGGTTACATTGCAAAGCCTGTCCCAAAAAAAGGGGAGCAGATGCTGGCAACTGGCACCCCATAAAGGCTTGGGATGCTGTTAAAGCCACAGTGCTCAGGGCAGGGCTCCAACCATCAGTGTTTGGACCTCACAGGATTAGGGACAGAGGCTGAGTTTAAATTCTCCTGTGACATAGTCCTAATGGGGGACCCCACACCCCTGCCTGTGTTGCTGCTTCTCCACTGTAAAGTGTTCATAATGACAACATGTACCGTAGGGTGTAGGGTGCCGTGAGTATTGAGTGGGTTATATGGCCACACTTTGGATAGGGCTTGACAGGAGAACTGTTGGCAAAGTCAGTCGGGGCAATGCATTCTTTTAACTCCAGCTACATAGGAGGTGGAGGGAGGCAAATTCCAAGTTCAATTCCAGCCTGTGTGTGTAGTGAGACCTTGTCTCAAACAAAAACAATTTTTTTTTCTGTGTCTGTGTATGCAGGCCGGGGCAGGGCATCAGATACCCTGGAGCTGGAGTTACAGGAGGCTGTGGACCACCAGCTATGGGAGGGAGCTGCAATTGAATTCAGGTCCTCTTCGATAACTGTATGTGCTCTTAGCCATTGAGCCATCTCTCCAGCCTGAGAAGTTTGACTGTTTGTTTCGTAATATATATGACATGAAAGCAGAAATGGGACCATTTGGGAAGAAGAAGGAAACCAAATATAAAGAGCAGGGACAGGGAGGATAGTGGTGGGAGAATGTATGATAATGTGCCTGGGTGTGGTTGTGAGTAAAGGAAGGAGAATCAGGAGTTCAAGGTCATCCTCAGCTACATTTCAAATTTGATACTAGCCTGGGCCACAAGAGACTTTGTCTCACTCACCTCCCAAAAATGTTACAATAAACATTTGTATTCCATCTAGTGTGTGTGTGCGCTTGTGGTTATATACATGTATCCCAGCTTGCATGTGGAGGACAGAGAGGAGCTTTAAGATTTCTCCTTCCATCATGGAAGTCCCAGAAATTAACTGAGGTTGTCAGGCTTGGTGGCCAGTGCCTCTACCTGCTAGGCCATAGTGTTAGATCTCCCATTCATTGTTCTGCATAGTAATTAGAATCATTTTCAGCCTGTGCTTTCCTCTTGTGATGCTGGCAATTATACTAACGTCTTTCATGATGGGTAAAGGATTTGCCCCTGAGGTGTGCCCCAGCCCCATCTCAAATAAAATTATTATTATTAATTATTATTATTAGTTATTTTAAGACAGGGTCTGCTATGAGCTTTGGCTGGCCTAGAATTTCTTCTGATCCACCTGCCTCTGCCTCCTGAGTGCTGAGATTAAAGGCAAGGACCTCCAGGCTCTGTTAGGTCCTTAAAGTATCATTAATACACAGAGATTGATGTCATCCAAGTGTCACTACCCCACCTTTGATGTGATGCAGGTGGGGCATCCAACCCCACAGTTTAGATGAGAGCTGTCCTAGACAAGGGTTCTTACAGGTGTCCAACCAGACCAGCCTGAACTGGATAGGGACAGGGAAGTGCTCATGGCCCAAGACCAGCTAACATAGATCTTGGTGGCTCAGGTGACCAATAGATAGATAATGGGAGCAGGTTCAGGATCTTTGACCTTTGTTTTGTTTGTTTGTTTTGTTTTGTTTTTCAAGTTACCCAGGCTGTTGCTGAGCTCAGTATGTGGCCAAGGATGACCTTGTACTTCTGAACATCCTGTGTCTACCTCCTGGGTGCTGGAATTACACACATGCATTACCAGCCTTGGTTTATGTGGTCCTGGGGATTGAACCCAGGATTTTGTACATGCTAGGCAAGCATTCTACTAACAGATCTTTGTCTTCCAGACTCCCCCTTCTAACATTTTCCATTACAGTGTGTGTGTGTGCATGTGTGCGTGTGTGCGTGTGTGCGTGTGTGTGTGTGTGTGTGTGTGTGTGTGTGTGTTTGTACACAATAGAGGTCAGAGGATAATTTATAGGATTTTGTTCTCTCATTCCACTATGTGAATCCTGGGGTTCAAATTCTGTTCATCAAACATCTTCACCCATCAGGCCATCAGGCCACAAACTAACTCATATGTGGGAGAGATATGGGGGTCTTACTCTATAGCCCAGGCTGTGCTGGAAGCCACTATGTAGCCCAGGCTGGCCTCACACTCTCAGGAATTCCTCTGCCTTAGGTTCTTAGGTGTGGGCCATCACACCTGCTTAGAACGAGGCTTTTTGGTGCCCTAAGTCCTCATGAGGGGCTGGAGAGAACAGAACAGGGTACCAGATTCTTAGCAGAAGCAGAGCTTGACTGAGGTTCTTCCTTGTGCCAGGCACTGCACTGGGCACCCTGGAGGTGACTTTTTCCCCTGATCTTTACAACACCCTCATGAGGCAAGCCCTATCATTAGCCTTTCTACAGATATGGCAATAGAGACCTAGGGAGAAGGCTATGTGTCCAGGGGTAATGTGTGGAGATCAGTCAAATTGTCTTGCTGAACTACTGGATGGGATGGGGGTATGGTACCGGACAGACAGTGGACACAGTCCTGTCCTGGTATTGAAAAGGGACAGAGACCAGTGACCTTTGAGCTAAGGAGATTCAGAGATGGGATTAGACAGTTGGCATGGGGAGGGTTGGCTGTATGAGCAAACCCCACTCCAGAATATGGCAAGCAGCCCCCTAGGTGGAAACAATGACACAATCAGCCCAATACCAAGGCCCTGACATCACGAGGTGGGCGTGGCCAAAGTGTGTGTGTGTGTGTGTGTGTGTGTGTGTGTGTGTGTGTGGTGCCACGCCCCTTGGCAAGCCCCTGTGGCCAATGGGACAGGCTTGGAAGAGCCTGGGGCTGGCCTCTGGAGCTTCAAAAACGTGTGAGGAGGGAAGAGGGTACAGACGCAGGCTCAGCTGCTTGTCCTTGTCACTGTCACCAGCACCTCTGCGTGCCAGACCCCCTGGCCAGCATGTCTTCTGCACATTTTAACCGAGGTCCTGCCTATGGCCTGTCTGCTGAGGTCAAGAACAAGGTAAGGCTGGAGGGGCTGCCTAGCCTGGCCCCTGACAGACCCTGAACTCCCTTCTACCTGTGTCAGGTGACTTGAGACCTGAGAAGAGACAGGAAGATAGGGAGCAGACGCTGTTTTTCTGTCCTTGGAACATCCCAGGGCCCTCAGTTGCTTGAGGGGTGAAGTGAGGGAACCCCACTATCCATAAATAGAGGTGATTAGAGTGCTGCAAAGATTTCCCACCTGCTTAGAGTCCTTGGTCAGTCTTCTTGTTCCTGGGAGGGATGTCGGGGGGAAGGGACCCCTTACCTTCAAAAAAAAAAAAAAAAAAAATCAACTCTGCAGTTTGTACAGCTTCAGGACATTGAGAGAACACACCTTCCTGTCATGGATGGGTAAACTGAGGCTTAGAAAGGAGCAGCAAGGAGCTAGGGCGCCGGGTAAGGCAAGTGCAGAGCTGAACCCTCTCCACACCAGGATAGATGGGTTTCCCCGGGGAGGGAACTGCACAGAGTAGGTGAGGTAGTCCCATTTGACAGAAGGGAACACTGAGGCTCTTTCTTTCCAGGGTCCCACAGCAGGAGTTGAGGGGAGCGATGAGTAGGGATTGGGATCTGGATCAGGTTGGGGTATCCTAGGGGCTCGAGTTGGGGAAGCGTGGGGGGGGGGGCGGGTGCTCCGCCAGAGACTGATGGCAGCGCCGCCCCCTCCCCCCAGCGCCGGCCCTGAGTCGCAGAAGAGCCGCCGCGCCTTATAAGGCGGCCTTGGGCAGCCTGGGCCCGCGCTATATAAGGGCCGGTTTGCTTTATAAAGCCGGGCTGGTGAGGAGGGGGGAGGCAGGGCTGGGGCCAGGTAAGGGGGTGCATCCCTCCTCTCCCCATTCAGCAAAAGTGAGGCATCCCCCCCCCCCCCCATCTCACTACCACTAGGCTCTGGGAGGCCAGCATGCAGGATTGCTGAAAGATTGTGAAGCGGGTCTTGCAGACAGGTTGGAGGGCGAGCCAGGAGGGAGAGCTAAGAGGTGGAGAAGGGAGCCGAATCCCACCCCCAACCCGGGAAGACAGGATCAGAGACTAAGCCAAGAGCTGGCTGGACAGGATTGGCACAGAGCTGGGGGACAACGAGAGGGGCAAAGTGGGGCTGAGAACAGACTTAAGAAACACATTCAGGCAGGGTTAGGAGGGGAACAAGATAACCCCCGTTTCTAACCAGGGATTCTATGTGTGGTGCCCTGGGGCTACGCTGAGATACTGTAAAAGCAGCATTCCCAGCAAACCAGCATCCAGGGGCTCCTTCTTAAGGTTCGTCCCTGCCCCCAGTTTAAGGCATCTCCTCTTCCGAATGGAGAGTGGAGAGGGGGTGCTGGGTCAGGGGAAGCTAAGTCCCAAGTTTGGCTTGGAGGGGAAACCAAGGAGCCAAGCGCCGCCCCCTTCCCCCCAGCTTCAAGGATCTGGCTCTCCATCCCCCTCTTGTCTATTCGTTGGTGCCAAACCTCAGAATGCCCGGAATGGCCCCCTGGGCAGGTGCCACCTCAATCCTGGCCCTTCGCCTCCCCCTAGTCCTGCCCCCCTTCTGTGGACACTAAGACAGGATTGCCTTAGTTGGGATGGATGAAGTAGGAGATTGGGCCTATCGGGGCTGAGATGGGTTCCAGAAGGCCAAAGCTACTCTCTCTTGCCTGCTTCCTCATCACCTGCCCCTCATTCTCCTGTCTCTACCTCAGCTGGCCCAGAAATATGACCATCAGCGGGAGCAGGAGCTGAGAGAGTGGATTGAGGGGGTTACAGGTCGGCGCATCGGGAACAACTTCATGGACGGCCTCAAAGATGGGATCATTCTTTGCGAGTGAGTGAGATTCTTAGGGTGCAGCCAGTACCCCGACCGCTCCATATTGGCCCTCAGCATCACCTGATGATCCCAAACCTGGAACTGGAGTTAGACCCTGATACATGATGCCACCTACATTCCTTGAAAGGCTGCAAAGACTCACTTGTGCCCATTTCACAGGCAGAGATGACCAAGTCAGGTTTAAGACAGTACCCAAAGCCCTGAGGTGTTACCAGGCCTTTACTTAGCTAGCACATGCTACAGGGTAGGCCTGTTTATGGATCCCAGTGGCCAACAGTGGCTGTTTATCGCCAGTTTTAGTGGTGTTATGGTGGTGTTACAGTTTATGCAGATCCTGGCTTCCCACTGCCCTCATCACTGGAGAAAATGAAAAACCTCACAGGAGCAGCCCACCATGGCTTGGCACATGCCTGGGACCCCCGGCACAGGCTGAGGTACAGTTCAGTGCAGAACGTATGCATAAGCAAGGCTGGCTGAGTTCCAGCCTCAGTTCTTCATCCAAGTGACCACAGTCACTCAGTTTCCGTTCATTAGTGAGCATTTAGAGAGCTCCTTATCAGGTGTGTGGGCAGTGAACCCGGCTCCATGTGGAGCCAAGAGGGAGAAATCGCACTGGTTCCACACCCAGCAATATCATCACCAAGAAAAGAAAAGGCAACCAAGTAATCAGCCAGATAGATAATCACATTCATGCCAGAAGGAAGAAAGTACCATGAACAAAGATGATTGGCTCAGTGGGTAAAGGTACTTGTCACCAGGACTGATGACCTGAGTTCAAAACACGACCCACATGTTGGAAGGAGAGAACAGACTCCTGAAAGCTGTTCACTGACTTCTACACACATGGCATGACACATGCATGGATACTCATGCGCATGTACACACATACAAATGAAAACAAGGAAAACTGACATTTGAACATAGGAAAGCCAGAACATTCAGCCTGACTCAAGGATTTGCTGGCTGGTAATTTGGAATCGGCTGTCCTACAGCCACCATAGCATGTAGTAGGTTGTATCCCCTCCAGCTGTTACCTAGTTACCTTGTCTGGACTCACTCTCCTCCCCCTTCTCTTTGTTAGATTCATTAACAAGCTCCAGCCAGGTTCTGTGAAGAAGGTAAATGAATCAACCCAAAACTGGCACCAGGTAAGTTCAGACACAGGTTACTATTTTGTTTTCTATGTTAGTAATGAGGATTGAACCCACTAAGTTTGCTAGGCCTGAGCTCTACTGCCTAGTCAAACCCCATCCCCTCACTGGGGGACTCCTGGCAGGGGCTGTACCCCTGAGCCACACCCCATCCCCTCACTGGGGGATTCTAGGCAGGGGCTTTATCCCTCAGCCACACCCTCAGCCCCTCACTGGGGGATTCTAGGCAGGGGCTCTACCCCTGAGCCACACCCCATCCCCTCACTGGGGGATTCTAGGCAGGGGCTTTATCCCTCAGCCACACCCTCAGCCCCTCACTGGGGGATTCTAGGCAGGGGCTCTACCCCTGAGCCACACCCCATCCCCTCACTGGGGGATTCTGGGCAGGGGCTCTACCCCTGAGCCACACCCCATCCCCTCACTGGGGGATTCTGGGCAGGGGCTCTACCCCTGAGCCACACCCCATCCACTCACTGGGGGATTCTGGGCAGGGGCTCTACCCCTGAGTCACACCCCAGCCCTTCACTGGGGGATTCTGGGCAGGGGCTCTACCCCTGAGCCACACCCCAGCCCTTCACTGGGGGATTCTGGGCAGGGGCTCTACCCCTGAGTCACACCCCAGCCCTTCACTGGGGGATTCTAGGCAGAGGCTCTAGGTTAGAACCAAGCCTAACCATGGGCTTCTATTATTGGCTTTGTCAGAGGCTCCCCTCACAGACGGCAACTCTGGTGTTGGTCCTTTCCTTCTACCTTGAGACAGGATCTCCATCTCTTTGTTGTTTTCCACAGGGTACACCAGGCTAGCTGTCTCCACTTCCCATCTCTCCTATAGGAGTCCTAGGATTACAGACATTCATACCATATGTCTGACTTTTGCTTGGTTTCTGGAGATACAAACTCAGGTCCTGATACTTATACAGAAAAATTTTTTGTCTTTGTTTTGTCTTACCAAAAACATCCCTGGCTCTTTTTTGAGACAATGTCTCATTAAGTTGCTCAGACAGGCCCTCCTGAGAGGTTGGGATAGCAGGTCATTAGCTTGTTTAATTTTTTTTTAACACTTTAATTTTTAAATATTTTTTTGAGACAGGGTTTCTCTGTATTGCTTTGGAGCCTGTCCTCAAACTAACTCTGTAGACTCACAGAGATCTGCCTGCCTCTGCCTCCCTAATGCTGGGACTAAAGGAGTGTACCACCAACGCCCAGCAACTCTTCTTTTAAGATTTATTTTAATTATGTATACACTGTTCTGCCAGCATGTATGACTACAGGCCAGAAGAGGGCGCCAGATCTCATTACAGATGGTCATGAGCCACCTGTGGTTGCTGAGAATGGCATTCAGGACCTCTGGAAGAACAGCCAGTGCTCTTAACCATTGAGTTATCTCTCTAGCCCCTTGTTTATTTTTTTTTAAATGATTTCTTTTGTTTATTTATTAGGGTGTGTGTGTGTATATGTGTGTATACTGTGTGGGCAAGTGGCCACAGAGGCCAGGCATTGGATCCCTGGATTCCTTGGAGCTGGAGTTATAGGAGTTTCATTCATCCCTTACCCACCAGCCCCTCAGCCCTCCACCCTCCCATCCCTGACCTGGCTTCTTCCCTTACAGCTGGAGAACATAGGTAATTTCATTAAAGCCATTACCAAGTATGGGGTGAAACCCCATGACATCTTTGAGGCCAATGACCTGTTTGAGAACACCAACCATACACAGGTTCAGTCTACTCTCTTGGCTCTGGCCAGCATGGTGAGTGTATGGGAAGAGTGGGCATGGGTCAGGGGCTGGGGCTGGTCTCAGGTCAGATGACCACAGGGACACTTAGGCCACTAAGCCTCACCAAAAATGTAGGCAAGTGTTGGTGTCTGAGGGGAAATGAGGCCTACCAGTTCATGTCCCTTTTGTTTCTTGCAGGCCAAGACAAAAGGAAACAAGGTCAATGTGGGGGTCAAGTATGCAGAGAAACAAGAGCGGAGATTTGAACCTGAGAAGCTGAGAGAAGGCCGGAACATCATTGGGCTGCAGGTATGGCCCCTTCATCATATGGGCTCCTCTGGGCTGAGGGCAAGGCAGCCCAGAACCTGGAGGATCTGGGGGTCAGAATATTTGTATGGACTGGCTGGGAACACCATCAGTGTTTTCTATTTACTAACTTCTTCCCTTTGCTTATAATCCTAAGTAGTTCCTGTTTTTTAACAGACTCTTAAAATATTTTACTTTATCTATCTTTGTGTATGAATGTTTTGCCTGCATGTATGCCTATGAACTATGTGTGCATACTGCCAGAAGAGAGGGCATTGGATCCCCTGGATCTGGAGTTATAGATGGTTGTAAGAGACCATGTGGATGCTGGGAACAAAACCCAAGTCCTCTGAAAGAGCAGTCAGTGCTCTTTACCATGAGCCCCTTTATACAGATAGAGACACTAAGGTTTTCAGAGGGTAGTACACTACTTTTTCCCTTCAGTGTTGGGGACTGAGTCTAGGCCTCATGTGTGCTAGGCAAGCACTGTACCTTAGTTATATCAAAGCCCTCTTGTATTTTTCATTTGTGCACATCGAGGTCAGAGGTCAGCCACTATTGCCATTTCTCAGGAGCCATCCACCTTGGTTTGTTTTGAGACAGGGTCTCTCTTTGTAGTCCTGGCTGTCCTGAAACCCACTCTGTAGACAAGGCTGGCCTTGAACTCTCAGAGATCCACTTGGCTCTGTTTCCTAAACGCTGGGATTAAAGGTGTGCCCCACCATGCCAGGACACCTTGCTCTGACACAGGGTCTCTCACTGGATTTCTTAGTTTGTACTTTGATGCTATGAGAAAACACTAACCTAACTTGTAGAAGGAAGGAGTTTATTTGTCTTGCATTTCCACATCATAGTACATCATGGAGAGAAGTTAGAGCAGGAATTCAAGTAGGAACCTGTAGGAAGGAACTGGAACAGACACCATGGAGAAACACTGCTTATTGACTTGCTTTCCATGTCTTGCTCATTTTTTTTTTTTTATACAACTCAGGGCCACCTGCCTAGGGATGTCACTACCCACACTGGACTGTTGTGTCTTCTCATACCAATCATTAATCTAGAAAATGCCCCATAGTCATGCCCATGAACCAATCTGATGGAGACAACTCCTTAACTCAAGTTCCCTTTTCCCAGGTGACTCTAGTTTGTGTCAAGTTAACAAAAACTAAGCAGCACAGCTGACCCCTTATTAACTTGACTCACAAACACATCACTGTTAAACCTCACCCTTTCCTGTTTATTCCCAAAGCTTTCTTTTACTGACCCACCACCTTGTTATACCCAAAATCTCATGTTAATATCACAATACCAAACTGCAACTTTAAATGCCCCAGTGTGCTATGTAAGTTTTGACTATTATAGGTAACTATCTATAATCTGTACTTAAGTATACATTACATTTTAAAATGAGCTATATAAACACAATACCTAAACAAGAGGAGAAATTTACGTGTCACATAATTGACCTTAAATTTGTATCAGTAAATGAAAATCCATTCCAAAACAAAGTATTCATTTCTTAAAAGAGATTGGTTTGGTCATTAACCATTTATAACCAATCCCATATAAATGAAAACAAACATTTATAGACAGTATTTGGGAATTTGGGTGTCATTCTTTCCAAACTGCTTCCTGTTAGAGGGCACTCTGTCTTGGGGATCCTAAGAAGACACAGAAATCCTGGTTGCAGTGGTCTGCAAGGCTGACTTGTCCCAGCTGTTTTGAATATTGGATCACCTGGAACATTGTTTCAGGGGGTCTTTCTTGATCAAACCATGTTAGTCTAGAAGGAATCCACAGCATTTCATTTTCTGTGGAAACAAAAATAGAAATCCTTTTCCCCAGTAACATGTCATTAGAGTTAAATTTTGGAGTCAGAGTATTTTTAAAATATATAAATTTGATTAATTCAGCAGCATTGATAATCAAGTGTATTGTAGCAATTGTTATTCCTTTCTTAGCAATTGAGCAATTCAAAGACAACACAATAGCATATAGTATCCATATTCTCTGTGGATATTTTCCATTTTCATGTGGCCTTTTTATTACTTTATTTCTTTTACTTCTATTTTTTCATTTTTTGAGACAGGGTTTCTCTGTGTAACTTTTATCTGTCCTGGAATTCACTCCGTACACCAGGTTTACTTTGAAATCACAGAGATCTGTTTGACTCTGCCTCCCGAGTGCTGGAATTAAAGGCGTGTGCCACCAATGCCCCAGCTACTTTCTCTCATACACACCACTGAATTGTTAGCAGCGCTTCTTAAAAGCCATGCGTTTTTTGCCACTTATGATGAGTCAAGAAACCTCCCTTAAAGGAGCCACGCAAATCTCTGCTTGTCTGTAGCAAAACAGAGTCCAACTGAGAAAAGTCCCCACATCTTGAATCTCCTACATCTCCCAGAATCCTCCTTGTCACCTAGTCCCACCTGTCTTGCTTTCCTATTTGCCAACAGTACTTTATTCATTAACCAATAAGAGAAACATATGTACAGAATGACACCTCCCATCATCCCAGTCTTTAAAAAATGCAAACATTTTAAAAGTTCAGAGTCTCTTTGAAATATACAAACCCTCTTTTTAAAAAAGTTCTTATTTTATGTACACTGGTGTTTTGCCTACATGTGTGTCTGTGTGAGGATGCCAGATCTTGGAGTTAGAGACAATTGTGAGCTGCCATGTGGGTGCTGGAAATTGAATGCAGGTCCTCTAGAAGAGCAGTCAGGGCTCTTAACCACTGAGCCATCTCTCCAGTCCTCCAAAGTTTCTTAACGTGGGCTTCTGTAAATTTTTTTAAAGGAAATATTTTCTTTTTCCAAAAGCAAAGAATAAAGGCATAAAACAATTATACTTATACAACACTGAAATCCATTAGTATAGTATAGTTCCAAATCTTGTAGCTCGATGTCTGACATTTGGGACTCATGATCTTCTGGCTCTAAAGGGCTTGGGCAGCTCTATTTCTCTGGCTCTGCCACCTGTAACACAAGTTTGTCTCACAGGCCCAGGGAGGGCCTACACCACACCTACTGTCCTTAGTGATTATCTCAGTCTTGGCATCTTCAATATACCAGAGGTCACCACTACAACCAAGGTGCACCGTCACCAATGGCCTCCTGACCTCTCTTCTGGGACTCTGACCCTAACTCATGGTACAAATCCTCAGTGTCTGTCCATGACCCCCTTCAGTCCTAGACTTCCACTGCAGCTGAGGCTGTACCTTAACCAGTGGCCTCTCAGTGCTAAGCCTCAGATGCTCTTCAGGACCCCTTTGATCTTGCAACTTTATTAAAAAACAAAACAAAACAAAACAAAACAGTATTACCAGGGAAACTACTACACATTACCAGATTCAACTGCCAGATTAAGCCTTCGCCTTTCTGGGGACAGCTTCTCTGTCCCCAGAAATACTCTCAGATTTCACCTCAGTGACGCTGGTACTGCTTAATATCAGCTGATTTCTCAGCCTCCACAAACCACCATCAGTTGATCAACTGTCCCAATAAAGCAAAGGTTCACTTCAGTGGCTTCAATGGTGCTGGTTCTCCTCCTCTCCATTTTCTTTTTGAATTATTTTATGTGCATACATATTTTATTACTATGTATGTCTATGGACCATGTGTGTGCAGCGCCTGAGGAGGTAAGAGGACACGGGATGCCTGTGGGCCATTGTATGGGTGCTGGGTGGTCTGCAAGAACATAAGCGCAATTAACCACTATATCATCTCTCCAGCCCCCTGATTAAGAATCAAAGCTGATTCTTAAGCCCCAGCTGACCAGACACCACAGATTCATATTTATTATTTTATGTGTATGGGTGTTTTGCCTGCATGTATGTTTGTGCACCATACATGTGCCTGGTACCAGTGAAGGCCAGAAGAGGGCATCAGATCCTTAACAATGTAGTTACAGATGATTTTGAATCACTATGTAGTTGCTGGGAATAGAACCTAGGTCCTCTGGAAGAGTAACCAGTACTCTTAACCACTGAGCCATCTCAAGCACCAGGATTCCTTTTTCCTCCTCCTCCTTCTCTTCTTCCTTCTTTTGGTTTTTCAAGACATGGTTTCTCTGCGTAACAGCATGGCTGTCATGGAACTCACTTTGTAGACTACACTGGTCTTGAACTCACAGAGATCTGCCTCCTCAGCACTGGGATTATAGGCACATACCACTATGGTCAGCTTCATTAGGTGCATTAGGTGATGCTAGTCACTGAACTCAGGTCCTTGTGCTTAGAAGGCAAGTACTTCAGATAGGGTCTCCTATAACCCGTTAGCCCTGGCTTCACTATTCAACCAAAGCTAGCCTCTTGAGTTTCTCCTCCCATCCTCCTGCCTCCACCTCCCAAATACAGTTTTGATCCTGACAGTCTTACTAAGTTGCTCAGGCTGGTAGCCCATTTGCCCTACTGTACACAAGGCAGGCCTTTAACTCCATTCTCCTTCCTCAGCCTCCTAGTCAAGTAGCTAGGACAACAGACCTGTGCTAGCAGTCCCAGTTTGAATCTACCTCCTTTTCTCTGTTCATTTATTTTATTGTTTGAGACAAGATCTCACTGTGAATCTGTGGCTGGCCTGGAACCCACTATGTAGACCATACTGGCGTCAAACTCTATCACCTGTCTGTGCCTTCTCAGGTTCTTTCCTTACATTATGTGGATGCCATAGGTCAACCCAGGTCATCAGGCAATAACCTCTCTCTACCCAGCAAGCACTCTGTCTCTCAAGCCCTGGCCTTAAACTTGCAGCCCTCTTGGGAGGACAATGGCTGTAATTTCCTTCAGCCAGGGTTGCAGGTGACAAGAGGGGGCCATGCCTTGGCCCTAAGAGTCTGGTCATGCAATGTGCCCACTCTGAGTGTTTCAGGCCTCCTGCTCTGACATTCAACTTCTCTTGGGATACAGGGACACTCTGTAATCCTTATTAATTACTCTCTCTCCTAGATGGGCACCAACAAGTTTGCCAGTCAGCAGGGCATGACAGCTTATGGTACTCGGCGTCACCTCTATGACCCCAAACTGGGGACAGATCAGCCCCTGGACCAGGCCACCATCAGCCTGCAAATGGGCACCAACAAGGGTGCCAGCCAGGTTCGTGTGGTTGTCAGTAGGACACCTGGTGAAATGGGGCTGGGGAGTGGGGCTGCTATCCCTTTGGCTTGACCACTGTTCCCTCCTTAGGCTGGCATGACTGCACCGGGTACCAAGCGACAGATCTTTGAGCCAGGACTGGGCATGGAACACTGTGACACACTCAATGTCAGCTTGCAGATGGGCAGCAACAAGGGGGCCTCGCAGAGAGGCATGACAGTGTATGGGCTGCCCCGCCAGGTGTACGATCCCAAATATTGCCTGAATCCGGAATACCCAGAGCTGGGCGAGCCCACCCACAATCACCACCCACACAACTACTATAACTCTGCATAGGGCCCCAGGGGGCTGGCTGCTGCTCTTGGCTGGACCTAGCTGGCCCAGCCAACCCCATTTCCTGCATGGCGTCCCCCAGCCCCCTGGCACCTCTCTATAGGGTTACAGTTTGGGGAGATCAGGCCAAGGGGAGCAGTGGGAAGAAGGGGGCCCCTCATCCCTGTAGCTCTTGCAGGGCCCAACACAGAACTGGGTGTCCCCAACCGCACCCAAAGGTATTTCAGTTGCCCCCTTTTACCCTCTCACAAGTGAGTACCTCCCAGAACCAGAAACCCTCCAAGCGAAGCCCCTGGAACCCAGGCTTGGCCTGACCCCTGCCCCATTCCCACAGCAGGAGCAGAATGCATGCCCAAAATGCAGTGGACACACACAGTTTGGTTTTGCAGCGACTGGCGTTTGTGGATGTGACAGCGGCATTTGTTACTCAAGCACTTTCTTTTTCTATTTCACTGGAGCACAATAAATGGCTGTGACATCTACCTGAGTCTCAGAGCCAGCTGTTGAGGAGTGTTGCTTAGATAGCTTCAGTCAATCTCCCTTACATACGGGAACTACAAGACACACACACTGGGGCCAGTGAGGGCTCAGAGCTGGTAAAGGCACGTGACACCAAGTGGATGACCTCAGTTCAGTCCTTGAGACCCACATGGTGGAAGAGAATCGGTTCCTGCAACATCCTCTGAGCCCCATACACAAGCCACATGATACACATACCCTTTCCTAAATAAAAATGTAATTTAATAATTAGATATACCTACAGGCTTTAACACCACTATACAGGGCAGGCACCTCTCAGATGCCACATACACTTTAAATAATGTGGGAGAGTCCTGGGAGGGGGTCGCCAGATTGTATGCAAGTGGCATGGACTGGTATTACAGGGCCAGGCTAATGGTTTGTCATGTCAAAACAGTTAACCTCGGGACGTGGCTCTCTATATGCCTGCCTTGGTGCTCAGCGGTCTACCTTCTTAAAACTGAACCCCATGGGCTGGTGAGATGTCTCAACTGGTAAAGGTGTAATCCCTAGGTCCTTCATGATGGAAAGAAAGAACCAACTCCCGTTAAATTGTGCTCTACCTCTTACCACAGCATGCACACATCCATCTACACAAATAAATGTCTTAAAAAAAAAACAACAAAAACCCAAGTGAGTGCCAGGCCTGCCTATGACCCTGAAAATCTAGGCAGGACTCTGACATTACCTTGCTTCAGCCTAGCAGCCACCACTTGTGGGTCAGCTCATTGTCTTCCTTTCATGTTCATCTGCTCTGCTTCCTGCTCATCCAGCAGGGCTCTACCAGTTCCTATCTTTCTACAGAGACAGGGTTTCTCTGTGTCCTGAACTCACTCTGTACACAAGGCTGCCTGCTTTTGCCTCTCGAGTGGCTGGGACTAAAGGGACTGGGCTGCCACCATGCCCAGTACTGGCAGTTTCTTTTGTGTGGTATACACAACTGTTCGTGTGGGCATATGCACGGTGAGCATGGGGGCAGAGGCTGATGGCCTGTCATCCTTGGTGAGCCTTCACTTTATTTTTGGAAGCAAGGTTCTCCCTGAATCCAGGGTTCACTGATGCTATGAGGCTGGCCGGCTGGCCAGACTCCAGAGATCTGCCTGTCTCTACTACCTTAGTGCAGGGGCTAGGCATGGCTTTTGCATGGTGCTAGGTACCTGAACTCAGGTCAAGAACTTTACTGGCAGCCGTCTTCTGAGGTTTCTGTAAGTCTCTTGTCATGGAGGAGCTCTAAACCATAGCTTGCCGTCCAGGTTCATGAGGCCAAGTTGAGGTGTTGAGTCCAAGCTACTTGGTTCAGGCCTCTTGTCACCTGAGAACCTCTAAAGGGACATGGTGCCCGCTCAGTGTCCAACCTGTCACTGTCTCAAGCCTTCCAGAGTCCTCCCCACCCTTAGAAAATGTCCCCTCTGTGACCATTACATTTTCCCAGTGGCCCAAAGCACCCAGCTGAGCCCTCAGTCCAGAACCTAGACATACAAGGAATTAAAATGGTGGATGTGAAGCCAAGCTTCCCACCAGGTTCAAGTCCCTGTGTGTATGTAAGGCTGCAGAAGCTGGGCGCCAGCCTCCTCTCTCAGGTCTGCTTGTCTCTGAGTCTGGAGTTGTGTAGCTTCACAGGGTGGCTGCCAGCACCCAGCAAGAGATCCAATGTAGGTGCCAACCTTTGAGTGTCACCTCCTTTGGGTCACCTGTCTAGAAGTCTGTGCTCATGTGCATATACAAGCATGGCAAAGGCTGGCCAGAGGTTACCCTCAGGTGGTATTCCTCAATTGCTATCCACCTTCTCTATTTTGGCCTCTAGATGATCCATGTTCAGCTCCCAGCACCCATATCAAACAGCTCAGAACTATTAATTCTAACTCCATGGGGTCCAACACCCTTTTCTGATCTCCAGGGGCACACTGATGAAGAATAAAACTCAGGGCTGGAGAATTGGCTCAGCAGTTAAGGGTACTCACTGCTATTCGGAGATCTGGGTTTTTGGGTCCTAGCACCCAACTATCTAATTCCAGTTCTAGGGGACCCAATAGTCTCTTTTGGTCTCCTCAGCACTGCAAAATGCTCATACACATAAAATCTTTCTTAAAAATGTGTACAAAAAAGCTGGGTATTGTGGCTCACACCTTTAGTCCCAGCACTCGGGAGGCAGAGGCAGGTGGATCTCAGTTCCAGGCCAGCCTGGTCTACAGAGCGAGTTCCAGGATAGGCTCCAAAGCAATATAGAAAAACAAACAAAACAAAACAAAACAAAAAACAAAACAAAACAAAACAAACAAAAAAAAAAAAGGTGTAGCAAAGCCAGGTGACAGACACCTTTAATCCCAGCACTCAGGAGACAGAGGCTGGCAGATTTCTGTTCAAGGCCAGCCTGCTTTACAGAGAGTGTTCCAGGACAGCCAAAGCTGTTACACTGAGAAATCCTGTCTCAAAAAACCCACAAAAGTGTAAAAAAAAGAAGCCTTAACTATGTATTTAGTGCACAGGTGCCACAGGGCAGGTGTGTGGTCAGAGGGCAACAGGCGTTAGTGCTCTCTTCCCACCGTGTATGTGGGGGCGGGGCATGAGAACAGAACTTAAACTGTCAGGCTTACACAGCCAGTTCTGTTTTCTTTAGAACAACTGTGATACTGTATGTGTGCGGTGTGTGGTGTGGAGGTTGGAGGACAACCTCAGGAGTCACTTCTCTGCCCCACTAAGGAGTCCTGGGGATTGGGACAGTTTTTGGTTGTTGTTTAGTTTTTGAGACCTTGGCTGGCCCAGAACTCAGAGCTCTTCCACCTCTCCCTCCTGAATGTTAAGACATGGCTTGATGTTCTTGCAGGATCTGAGTGCTGTTCTTAGCACTCACACCAGGTGACTGAGAACCCTCTAATTTTCAGCTCCTGGAGAACCAACGCCTCTGCCTCTTTGGGGGCCCTCACTCACATGCACCATGCCACAGACAGACACACCCACCCACATGTACTTAGAATAAAAAACTAATCTTTGAAAGTGAGTACCACCGTGCCCAGTCTAGTCATGCTTTTTGAGACAGTCTCTCTAACTGGCCAGGCTGTCTGGTGGCAAGCCCCAGGAATCTGCTTGTTCTGGCTCCTCAGCACTGGGAGTTCAAGTGTACAGTCATGCCTGTCTTTCATCTGGGTTCTGGGGATCAAGCCGAGGTCCTCACGTTTGTGTAGCAAGGACTTTACTGACTGAACTATCTATCTCCCCAGCTGTCTCTGGTTTTCACTCTGGTTGCTGCAAACATAAAGCCAGATGTCTTAGTCTACTGTGTACTCAGCTGTTATTATTTGTTTGTGTTTTTGAGAGAGGGTTTCTCTGTGTATACCTGGCTGGCCTTGAACTCAGAGATCTGCCTGCCTCTGCTGTACTGGGATTAAAGGTGTGCGCCACCGTCGGACCAAATGTTTTAAGTGGTGTTCTACTCCTGTAATTCACTGAACAGGCTGAAGCAGAAGGATGAATTTGAGATGATCCTGGGCTACACTACCATTGGTTGGGTGGGTGGCATACACCTTTAATCCTAGCACTCGGGGCAGAGGCAAGCAGATCTTTGAGCATGAGGCCAGAAAGCCCTGGGTTTGGGCCTCAGGACCAAATGACTAGGTGTGGTAGTGCAGTCCTATAATCCCAGCACCAAGGAGACAAACGGGGGTGGTGGCAGGCAAAGGATCAGAAATTCAAGGCCACTCTCAGATTCATAGCAAGTTCAAAGCCAACCTGGTATATGATACCCCGCCCCTAATCACTACTAACCCTGCCCTCACAACAGAGAAAATAGAAAAAATAGTTTGAAAAATGACCAAACCATACATCATAGAGTCACTAAGGTCTCTTCTGAATCCCAGTTTCCCTCTTGGCACTTAGGCCTCATAACCCAAGAAAGCACAGAGCCACGGATCTGCACTGGCTGCTTTATTGACAGGCTTGTGAGTGACAGCTGTCCCTGAACCAGCCCCTACCTTTTCTACAAAAGCAAACGGAGGAAAATGGGTCCCCAGGCAAAGCCCAGCAAGGGCCCTTGACTCCCAGGCCACAAGCACAAGGCGGTGGGAAGCACAGAAAGTGCAGGGTCCCCAAGGCCCATGTGCTGGTGAGGTGGCCGAGGAGACCGGAAGGTCCACAGATATTCTTTGCCAGGGATGTCAGGAAAATGGTCATCAGAGGAGACAGGAACCTAAAACTTGGGGGCAGGGGTTGGTGGCTGAAGAAGGGAGCAACTCGGAGGTTTTCAGAGTCATTTGGGGCCACCCTGGGCAGCATGGTGAGACCCAGTAACCCCTCACCTCCACCCTACCTACAAGCAGTCAGGGCCACTGTTACAGCCACATCTGCAGCCCCACACACACATCTACTCACTCACATCCACTCTATACACAGAGGGAGGGCTGCCACAGCCCTGGACCTACACCCTGGAGCCCTGGAATGTCTCTGGATTGGTACCCAGGTCGGGGACTGCTGAGGGGCAGGTCCTTGATATTGCTACTGATTAGCTGCCTCACAGGCATCTATCCAGTCGCTGTACACATCCACCGGTTCTGACAGATCTGCAACACAAAGTCAAGGATGATTTCTGGAACATTTATGCTATGATGGGATCAACTGGACCCCTGCCCTGTGTCTTGTCACTCAGTGTTAAGCCAGCAGACAATGTCTACTCCCCTTGGTACCAGTGGTTCCATATCTGGCCACAGGACTAGGGTAGCAGGAGTGACTGACAGTTCTTTGTCTTTGGTCACCAGGCCCTAAGCAGGCAAGGACAGCCCTCAAGTCAGATGACTTTCCAAGGATACATGTGATGGGTGTCTGGAATTCCTCTAGGCACACGGTACAGGAGATAACTCCCGTGTTTCGAGCTCGGTCCCTGCAATAGGACAAGATGGAAGGGTGCATGAGAAACAAGCCTTGAACCTTGGGGGGAGCTCTAACAGCAGGAAGGCCCAGGGTGAGCAACGCAGGAGACATAGGCTTGGATGTCCACACATATCGGCTGGCTCACCTAACTACCCACTTACATTTTCACATCACAAGACTTCTCATGGTTGCAGAAGGGGCAAGTGAACTGGGTCTCCAGGGTGCCTGTCATCTTCTTCTTGGGGGGTGGCTTCCGTTTAGACTTCCTTCGTCCCATGGCTAAAGGGGAATGAAACCTGTGGGGCGGGCGGAGGAGGGATTAGAAGCAGGCCACTCTCTACCTCCATCCTCTGGAAGCAGGCTTGAGGCAACCAGCAGTAGCCCATGGAGAAAGGAAGATGTAACTGTGACATCCAGGCTTCTACCTGAGGAGCCCAGGCTCCTGATCTTACACAACATACTGTGTAACTCTACGTAGGTCACTTAACATCTCTGTGCTCAGGGGAAGGCAGGGGTGGACAGTGGCTTAAGAAAAAACAGGGACAGGGAGGATACTCAATATAGTGCCCAATTCTGTGAAGGGAAGGAGGAGCTGACTCCAAAGAGTGACTCAAGATGAAGTCAAGGGCAAGAAAATGGCTTAGTGGGCAAAAGTGTCAACCACGCCTGAGTCCAATTCTGGGAAGCTACACAAAAGCCAGGCACAGTGGCTCAGATCTGTAAACCTGGCACTTGGATGTGGGGATGGAGGTTTGGGAGCTTGCTGGCTAGTTAGTTGGGACAGAACGATATGGAAGGTGAGGACAGACCCTGACCCCAAATATAAAGACTCAAGTAGCACCTCCCTGTGCCCCCCACAAACAAGATTTTTCTATGTAACAGACCTGAACTCTCTGCAGACCAGGCTGGCCTTGAAGTCACTGAGATCCGCCTGCCTCTGCCTCCAGAGTGCTGGGATTAAAGACGTGCGCAATCAATGCCCAGCAGGATTTTTTGGGGGAGGGGAATTGGAGTGGGGTGGCAGTGAGGAAAGGCCCATATAATTGATATCTTTATGGGTCTTTTGCTTTTTTTTTTTTTTTTTTTTAATCTTTTTCTTAAAGCAGAGTGGTGGCACATGTCTTTAGTCCCAGCACTCAGGAGGCAGAGACAGGCAGTTCTCTGTGAGTTTGAGTCCAGCCTGGTCTACAGATCGAGTTCCAGGACAGCCTCAAAAGCAATACAGAGAAACCCTGCCTCAAAAAACAAAACAAACAAAATAAGAAAAAGGCCAGTACATTGGCACATGCCTGAAATTCCAGAACCCAAGAGGTTCAGGCAGGAGGGTAGAGTATTCATAGCAAGTTGGAGACTGGGTCTTACTGTGGTAGCCCAACCTATACTGCAATTGGATTACTGAAAACTGGAGGCTATCTTGAACAACAAGTTCAAAGTTCCCATCTTAAAAAAAAAAAAAAAAAAAAAAAAGGTACACAGATACATGTGTGCAGACAAAAAACATCTACATTTACAAGACAGTAAAATTTAAAAATCTATTAACATTGTATATACACACACATACACGGGTTCCTCTGAATAGCCTTGGCTGTCTGTAACTCAGAGATCTGCCATCACCCTGGCTCTGCCTCCTGAGTTCTGGGATTAAAGATGTGTCCCACCACTGCCTGGCAACATGAAAACTGGGTGAAATCAGCCGGTAGTAGTCTAGCGTGTAGGAGGCTCTAGGGTAATGGTTCTCAACCTGTGTTTGAGGGTTGCATTGTGTGTGTGTTTGTGTATTTATTTATTTTTTTTTTTGAGACTGGGTTCCTCTGTGTAATAGCCCTAGTTGTCCTGGAACTGGCTTTGCAGACCAAATTGGCCTAAAACTCACAGAGATCCGCCTGCCTCTACCTCCATCAGTGCCCTGGTCAGATATTTACATTACAATTCATAACAATAGAAAAATTATAGTTGCGAAGTAGCAATAAAATAATTTTATGTTGGGGTCACCACAGCATGAGGAACTGTATTAAAGGGTTGCAGTATTAGGAAGGTTGAGAACCACTGCTCTAGGGGTTGTCACGCCCAAGATCCAGTTAATGCCAGGTGATGGCACACGCCTTTGATCCCAGCACTTGGGAGGCAGAGACAGGCGGATCTCTGTGAGTTCAAGACCAGCCTGTTCCAGAACAGGCTCCAAAGGCTCGAAAAACAAAAACAACAACAAAAAAGATTCCGTTAATGGGGGCTTCAGTGAGCTGCACTGAAATCCTAGCACCAGACAGGCAGAAGGAGGAGGACTGCCATGTTTTCAGCCAGCTGGAGCTATACAGTACAACGCAACAAAACCAAACCAGGCATGTTGGTTTAACATGCAACCCTCGCACTTGTTAGGCTGAGACAGGACCATGTCCTGAGCTGGAGACCAAACTGTCTCACAAATCCAAAACAATGGGGCTGCCCCAAGTTCAATTCCCAGCACCCACATGGTGACTCACAACTGCCTTTAACTCCAGTTTCCGGGGGGGAATCTGATTCCCTTCTCTGGCCACTACACACATGTGGACAGCCATACATGCAGGCAAGCACCCATACACATAAGATAAAAACAAATAAATATTCACAATGTCTATATTAATAAGTAGTTATAGATGACAGGCTCTTAACTGGGTCTGAGGCAGATGAAGGGTGTTCCACGAATAATAAAAGGTCCAGAGACTGATATTAGAGTTTAATCTGAAGGTCAGGGAAGCAAAGCAGCCAGCCACTAGCTCTCACCTCTAGCTCAAGCTAAAAGGGCTGATCCATGCACAAGCTCTTCACTGCCTCTCTTCAGTGTGGCTGGAGAATGAATGCTTCTCTGAGACCTTGCTTCTGTCTTATAGAAGTGTAGAATGAGCTGGGGGGTGGTGTAGCATGCCTTTGATCCCAGCACTCGGGAGGCAGAGGCAGGCGGATCTCCGTGAATTCAGGACCAGCCTGGTCTACAACAGCTAGTTCCAGGGCAACCTCCAAAGCTATAGAGAAACCCTGTCTCGAAAAACCAATTAAGTGTAGAATGGTCCTGAGCTCATGCTGTTGTCACTTGTCTACACAGTTATGTCTGTTTCTGTTTCCGAGGTCTGGCCCTGGCAACCACCTAAGACGGAATCACAGACCTTCCACAGGTCCTTGGGCCACCTTGGTCACTCCTGTCTCAGCTGGTACAGGTACTGCTGCCAAGTCTGACAAGCTAAATTTGGTCCCCAGAACCCACATAAAGGTGGAAAGAGAGAATGTACTCCGTAAGTTGTTCACTAACCACTATACACAGACATATTATACACATAAAGATTTCTAAAACTTTCAAAAAGGGCAAGCAAGATGGCTCAGCAGGTAAAGATGCTGGTTGCCAAGCCTGACAAGCCTGAGCTCAATTCCCTGAACCCTTAACGGTGAAAGGAGAACCGACTACAGCAATCTATCCTCTGTACACTCACGTACAACATCCAAAACAAACGAATTAACGATCACCTTAACTTCTTCAAGATCCTCCAGCGTCTACAACTCGGCCCATCCATCTCCTAGAAAGGATTTCACTTGGCCACTGCTCAATCCCCAGCATCCACAGCACCTGGTATATCCCAAACTCTTAACAGCCACTTGTTGAACGAATCAGTGAGTTTCCTGATCTATGTGTGGCCCCAGATCCCATCGGCAAACCGCAGCCCGCGAACGAGCCGTGTAGTCCCGAGACGAGCGGGGCGACGGGAAGCGGTGCCGTCAGCCTCACCCAGGCTTCGGGGGCGCCGCCCGCTTGTCCAGCTGCAGGGGTCCGGTGGTCAGGCTCCTCACACGGCAGTCCTCAGAGCCATGCCCGGCCTCGGCTCCACGCCGGGCGGGTGATCTAGACAAGAACGCCCGGTCCCGCCCGGCCCAACGCCCGCCCGCGAGACCCAGCACCTACCTGTACCTGCCCTGCCTCGCAGCCAAGGCCGCTTCACCTGGGAGACGCTAACTTCCGGCCTCTGACGGAAGCGGAAATATCGCTTTGGTTTCCCGCCTACTCCGAAACCGGTGTCGTTAGACCCCGCCTCCTTCAACTGCCTGTTTCTGAGCCTGTGTGACGTCTGTTACCGCGCATGCGCTCCCACTGATTTCCAGCCAGTTCTGTAGGGTTGTGATTGGTTTGCCATGAGTCTGTGTGTCCTGCTGTGGTACCCCTGGCTGAGATCCTCGCCTGTGACCACCATCTTCCTGGATTCCTCTCATTTGTGCCCAGTTACAGCTCCCGGAAGAGCACCTGGGTTTTCCCACCCTCCATGCTCACTCATACATCCAAGCCCTAGAGAAGACTATTGGGAAGAGGAAGGCGATCAGCCCGAGTGAGGGGCACGAGAGGGGTAAGGGGATAAATATGGTCAAAGTACGTGATACAAATACATGAAGATGGCATAGGGAAATCCATTATGTATGATAATATATGCTAATGCAAAACACAAAATACCCCAATCTTATCCCTGACCGCCTATAAGCCCAGCACTGAGGAGATGGAGATAGAATTAGAAATTAAAAGGTCACACCTGGTGGTGGTGGCTGCGCAAGTCTTCAGTCGAGGCCAGCCTGGTTTACAGAGCAAGTTCCAGGACAGCCAAGGCTACACAGAGAACATCTGTGTCGAAAAACAAAACAAAAAAGAAATTCGCTGGTGGGCGTGGTGGCACATGCCTTTAATCCCAGCACTCGGGAGGCAGAGGCAGGCGGATCTCTGAATTCGAGGCCAGCCTGGTCTACATGAGCTAGTTCCAGGACAGCCTCCAAAGACAGCCACAGAGAAACCCTGTCTCGAAAAACAAAAAGCAAAACAAAAAACAGCTGAATCACCCAGTCTTGTGAAATTGAGCAACTACAGCTAACCATTGTTGGATTAGTTGAACTGTACCCTGTAAGTCATCCCATCCCTTATGTGAGTGTATAGATACAAAATACATACATACATACATACATACATACATACATACATACGGAGTGAATAAGAGAGACAGGCATTCCATAAGTTCTGTGACTCTAGAGGACCCTAATACAGCTACAAATTGAGTTTGAGACCAGCCTGGGTTACAAAGAGCCTTTTTTAAATTTTTTTTTTTTTAATTTGTAAGGCCACCCTAGCTGCTGGAGGGAGAGGAGGAAAGAGAGTGTGTGGGATTAGAGAGCTGGAGGAACAGTATGAAAGCTGTTGCACTAGTCTAATGGATTGTGATGTCAGGTGGGGCAGTATAAATGGGAACCAAAGAACTTTATACATCTAAAAAGATGATCTGGGAAGAGAGAGGATGTAAGGATTCAGACATTATGCTGGCCTGCCCCTGTCACCTGGCAGAGTATACTCAGGCAGTTCTCTGGTCAACCCAGGGTTCCATGACTACTAGCTTTCCAGCTATATCTTTCCTGTTGTTCCTTTGGGGCAGACAGGACTTTTCCTGTCTCCCTCTTCTCTTCTGTTCTCTCTCTGTCTCTGTATCTCTTTACCTCTTTTCTATTTCCTTACCCTGCTTTCCCTTTCTAATAAAATGTCTCACTAAGCTCTGTCTGCCTGGCTTGTTTGTCCCCTGCCTGGGTCACCTTTGCCTGCCATGGAATCCTTCAAGCTTCCCCTCTTGCTTTATCATAACAGAGGAGGCTTGGGGGCAGGGGCAGGTAGCAACCCCAGGAAGACCATTAGGCAGAGGTAGCAAGTGGAAGGCTATCTTTGGCAGAGTTCCTGGGTACTGCCTCTCAGAGGAGGAAGGCTGAGGAGCCCCTAGGGAAAGAAATCAAGGACTGAGCTTCAGCGGTAATGAGTATGGCAGAGAGGCTGGGGAGGCAGCTCATCAGGCAAAACACTTGCGGGGTGAGTTTGAAGACTAGTTAGTTTGAATCCCCAGAACATACATAAATGCCAGATGGGTATAGTTCCCCACCTGTAATCTGAGCCTGCAGGAGGGGTAGACAGGATCCCTAGAGCAGGCCAGCTAGCTAGATGAGGTGAGCTCTGGGTTCAAGAGTGATTAAGGAAGGCTCCCTGGCCTCCACATGCAGACCTTCACAAACATGTGCTGAACACACAGACTTTTTCTTAATTAAAGGCTTCTGGCCAGCAAGATGGCTCAGCAGGTAAAGGCACTTCCTACCAAGTGGTCAGCCCGAGTTTGATTCCTGGAAGTTACATGGTGGAGGGCAAGAACTGATTCCTGCAAGTTGTGTACACACACACACACACACACACACACACACACACACACACACGGGTGGGGGAGAGAGAGAGAGACAGGGAGGGAGGAGGGGGAGGGCTTAGCTGTGTTGCAGTTCATGCTTTGAATGGAATAAAGTATGAGCACCAACTGTTGAGTTTGGTAAGTGTTTGTTTGTCCCTGGGAACCTTAACAAGAGTTATTTCTTTAGTGCGTTTCCAGAAACAACTGAGGTATTTATTTAGAGCAGAAAGATCTCCAAGATGTCCTATAGGGGGCAGTGTCATCCTTGGAAGTGACTTTGCTGAAGACCACTTCCCAGTGTTGGCAGCTCCAATTCAGGTAGGATTGGAAGCCAAGTGTGGTAGTTAGGGCCTAAAATCCCAGCACTCAGAAGACAGAGGCAAAATCTTTGCTAGTTCTGGACCAACCTTGGATATATGCTGAATCTGGGTTACATGGTGAGACCTTGGCTTATACACACACACAAATATGAAACAATAAAGCACAGAGGATAAGATCTGTCTGTACACCATGCATGTTACCCTGTGCCTTGCTGTCTTAGTTCCACTAATGGTCAAGGCACAGATGCAAAGCTTGTTTTCAGTAGTTGTCCTTGTTAGTTTTTTTTTTTTTTCCACCTTTTCAGTGGGATCTAGATCAGCTGGGAGGTAATCCTCTGGGCACATCTGGAAGAGCTAAGAGCTGTCTATTTTAGGTTAATAGAAGTGGGCACTAATGCTGACTGTGGGCAACCCCATTTCCTGGGCTGCAGTCCCAGACTGCGTATCACTCTCAGCCTCCTGATTGAAGATGAATGGGACAGCTGCCTTGAGCTCCTGCTACCACACCTTCCCTGTCACCATGGGCTGTACCCTTGCATTGGGAGCCAGAAGAAACCTGTCCTCTTTGAAGTTGCTTTAAGCAAGACAGTTTATCACATTGGCAGAAAAAGAAATAAATATAGTGTGGGCCATGGGGGCTGGCCAAGGGTCCAGCACCACAGTCCTTGTGGTGAGAAGGCATGAAAAGTTCAGCATGTTAGAAAAACATCTGTAATCCCAGCTCAGGAGGCTGAGACAGGAGGATTACCTTGAGTCAGAGGCCAGAATGGGCTACACAGAGAGCCCCTGTCAAATAAAATCATAGAATTAAAATGAAACAGGGCAATGTCTTAGCCTAGCTTGGTGCTACAGCCTGCCATCCTAACCCTGTAGACGATGAAGCAGGAGGCTCAATACTTAAAGGCCACTCAGACCCTGCCTCCAAATGACAAGTCAAAGCTAGTGTGCTGATCCACTCCCTTAATCTCATCATTCAGGCTGTGGGAGCAGGAGTATAGCACCAATAATATAAACCCAGAGACAGGTATTGGGGTTAAAGCTGAAGATCAGAAAAGCAAAGCAGCCAGCCACTAGAGAGTTCTCACCTCTACCAATGCTCAGACCGAAGGAGCGATCCAGACCACTGCTACTCAGACTCACTGAGACTACCTAGACAGCAACGTTCTCCACCAAAACCCCAACTGCTTCTGAGACTGGGCTCCTTATATTCTCTCCAGTGTTGGGATTAAAGAAACGAGCTCTGTTTCTCTTTTAGACTGAGTCACTTTCATGTAGCACTGGGTGGCCTTGAACTCACAGAGATCCATCTGCCTCTGTTTCCTGAGCCCTGGGATTAAAGGTATGGCTGTTGTTCTTTTGTTACAGTTCTAGGAAAAGGAAAAGAGAAGGGAGGCAGGTTCCCGAGTGGGGGTCCCAAGGTAAGGGACCACGTGGGAGAGCATAGCAGGTTCCATAGCAGGAGAGGGTGACCGGAGTGGAGGGACAAACATGCCAGGCAGACAGAGCTTGAGTGAGGAGTTTATTTAGAAATGAGAGGGAGGGAGAAGGAAGAGACATAGAGGCACCGGGAACAGAAGAGAAGAGAGAGAAGAGCCAGAAAGAGCAAAGACAGTGTAAGCGAGAAGGGTCTTTCTTTTTTTTATTAATTTATTTTATTTTATTTTATATAACAAAGTCCAATTAAATGAAAACAAACATTTATAGAGAATATTTGGGAATTTGGGCGTTGTTCTTTCCAAACTACTTCCTGCTGGTAAGGGGCACTGTCATGGGGGATTCTAAGAAGATTCAGATATCCTAGCTGTAGTCTGTAGGGCTGTTTTGTCCAGCTGTTTGAATTTAGGATCAGCTTGTACTCTGTTTCAGGCGGTCTGGCGTGATCAAACCACATTAGTCTGGAAGGAATCCACAGCTTTTCATTTTCTGTGAAAACAAAAATAGAAATCCTTTCCCCCAGTAACTTGTCCTTCAACTTAAATTTTGGAGTCAAAGCATTTTTTTTAATTTAATTTATTATTTTACATGTCGATCCCAGTTTCCTCTCCCTCCTTCCCTCCCTCCCTCCCTTTTACCCTCTCTGCCCTCTCACATGCACCCTAACCACCCTCCCCTCCCATCCCCCCAACCCCAATTCCATATGTAGGGGAATGCCATCCAGTTGGGGTCATGTAGATCTGACAGGTCATGTGAAGTAGGGACTAGGGCTTCTTTCCTGTTTCTAGATTAAGGCAGTTATCCCTCCATGGGGGATATGTTCGCAAAGTCCTTTTGTGCACCAGGGATACATCCTGGCTCCACTGTCTGAGGTCCCTTAGACTGCTCAGTCCTTCTGTCTGAGACCCATATTCAGGGGGGCCTGAGTCAGTCCCATGCTGGCTTCC